AAAGTAACATTTATGAAGGGGTTCAGGGAAACCGGCAGGCCGGACTTGAGTCCTGGAGATGGGAAGTACAGTGCCTGCACTCTGAAGGAGGGGTGTTAATGTTGCAGTTTAAAAACTGTAGTGTAAAGCACCCTTCTGGCAAGACAGTGATGGAGTGAATGATGGTGAAAGTTTTTCTTTTTCGGGCCACCCTGCCTTGGTGGGAATCGGCCAGTGTGATAATAAAAAATAAAAATTAAGAAGTATCTTTCCATCATACATTGCCTAAGTTTCAGTAAGATAACCCAACAAACAACTGAGAAAATAATAATATAATAATAAAAATAATAATAATATCTTTATTTACCACATGTACATGTACAAGGTATACAGACCTAGCTGACATCAGTGACATACTATATAGAAAGCCACTTGTTATGCAGAGTATTTCAAGAAAATTAGGTCAGTGTCCCAGGATAACACCCACACCAGTCGGCTAGCACCCGGGTACCTATTTACTGATGGGTGAACATAGACAACAGGTGTAAAGAAACACGCCTAATGTTTCTACCCTGGCTGGGAATCAAATATTTACCAAAAATCATATATGGCTAACCCAAGCCAGGTACTAGAAACAAGCCACGTTGACTTTTTTGAGTTATCCTAGGTTCTCTACACATATGCTGCTATGTGTGATAATCTATATAGAGAAAATAACTTTTTTGTTTCAGGTTTATGGTGCAGTACGAGTGTATATCACAGTTAGCCCTGTGCTATGCTCCATTTTCTCTTAATATAAGCCCCCAAGACAGGGATAGGAAAATGGTATTTGTATGCCATTTCCTCTTCATACCTCCGTCGAACTGTTCGGTGTTATGCCAAGTATTATTTATTCTGGAGTATTTAACGTGTTTTATGTTATTTATATTGTTTATTATGTCATATTAGATCAATTGTGATAGGCAAATAAGCTGTAGTGTTGATATTAGTGTAATAATAAAGCATATTCTGCATCATGAGACTGAGCTCATGACAATGACAGTGGCTTCAAAGCCACCTTATCTTTAATGGATAATGTACTGTGTTGGTGCTTTACATAATGAGAAGCATTTCTTTTATTCATTGGAACCATGGATAGGGCTAAAAATAAGCAGGTTAAAACAGTAAATGGAGAAAAAGAAATTGGAATGACTTATGCAGCAAGTAGCGCCACCAAACAGTACCAGCAGGTTGGTGTGGCGACCCTGGAAATTTGATATTATGCTAACCAAAATTAGTGCCGAATAACTGAAGGAACCGAATAACTGATTGCCGGATTTATGATGGCGGACCTGTACATGGTCGGAGTTTTTTTCTCATTATGCACTGCATGCTTTAAGATTTTTTTTTTTTACTGCACACACTGACCACACAGACCCATTCTTTCATATGTAGTCCTACCAGCTTTCTTCCACTCGATTTGGAGGTGCTAGAATTTTGTCATATAAGTACAGCACAGACCCTGGATCTCAAGCTGTACATGTATGGCAGTGACCCTGAAAGGGTTGAGCACTGAAGTAGCAAGCTTGCCATAGTTAAATTTTTTGTTAATCAGGTCCAATATAACAGGGTTTGACTGGCTTTGATTACTTTTGTGAGATTAAACCACATCGTCAGTGATCTAATTTTATTATCCATGTTCATTTTAAAAAAATTTCTGCAGCACCATGGGAAAATTATACTGATTCTCAATTTTTACTTGTTTTTGTTGCTGCAAATTTGATTTTGTTCACAATAAGAGGTAATACTTCTTCACTTAGATTACTTTTATATTTTACTTGCTTCAAAAATATATTCACTGTATCATCCTTACAGAGTAATTAATTATTATCCATATTTATTATGCCAGTCTTAAGCTGTTTATTAATTTAGAAATAGTGTAGGTTTCCATTAAATTCCTTGAGACTTGGTTTGGATGCTGGCACTGGATGTCACCAGTAACTGGTGCAGGAAGTTGTCTGTGGTTTGCAGTACCCATCTATCCATCAACCCTTCTTTCACTTATTAAAATGTGAATTAAATTAACATTTATTTTGTTAATCCACAATTTTAAAGCTGTTAATTTGGAATGCTTATGCAGCACAAGCAGCAACATTTGCAGCTGCAAGCACAGCAACATTTTGGGGCCTGAACCCCAAGATGAGTCTTGATCATGCTGAAGTGGTTAACTTCTCCCAGTCAGTAGCATGTGTTTGCTCAATAATATATTACTTAGTTTTAAATTAAAATTAATTAAGTCTTGGACCAGGGGTGTGCTGACTTCTTTTCATTTTTAAAGATTTTTTTTTTTCTCAGCATCTAGGCTGTCTCCCACTGAGGCAGGGTGACCCAAAAAGAAGAAACGCTTTCACAGTCATTCACACATAATCACTGTCTTGGCAGTGGTGCACAGATATGACAGTTTAGATGTCACTCTAAACAGCCAATATCCCAAACCCCTCCTTTAAAGTGCAGGCATTATACTTCCCACCTCCAGGACTCAAGTCTGGCTAACCAGTTTCCCTGAATCCTTCCACAAAATATTCCCCTGCTCATACTCCAACAGCGTGTCAGGTCCCCAAAGCCATTAGTCTCCATTCACTCCTGTCTAACACGCTCAGGCGTGCCTGCTGCATATCCAGGCCCCTTGCACACAAAACCTGCTTTACCGCCTCCCTCCATCCTTTTCTAGAATGACTCGTACCCCTCCACTACAGATTTATACACCCTCCAAGTCATTCTGTTTTGCTCCAACCTCTCTAAATGACCAAACCACCTCAACAACCCCTCTTCAGCCCTCTGAATAATACCGTTTTTGTAACTCTGCACCTCCTAATTTCCACTCTACGAATTCTCTGCATGATATTTACATCACACATTGTCCTTAGACATGAAATCTCCACTGCCTCCAGCCTCTTCCTTGCTGCAGTATCTACAACCCATGCTTCACACCCATATAAGAGTGTTGGTACCACTATACACTTGTACATTACCTTCTTATCCTCCATGGATGACTTTTTTTTGTCTCCACAGATACCTCATTGCACCACTGCCTTTTTTCCTTCACAATTCTGTGGTCAACCTCGTCCTTCATAAACCCATCTGCTGACAGATCTACTCCCAAATATCCGAACACATTCACTTCTTCCATACTCCCTCCCTCCAATGTGATATCAAAGTTTTTTCTTACCTAACTTGTTTGATACCCTTATCACCTTAATTTTATCTATGTTCACTTTCAACTTTCTTTACACACCTTCCCAAACTCGTCCACTAACCTTTGCAACATTTCTTTAGAATCTCACAAAAGCACAGTATCATCAGCAAAAAGTAACTGTGTCAACTCCCATTTTGTTCCAGTTAGTGTTGTGTGTTGTAAAGTAAGAAAGATCTCTCTTGCAAGGCATGGCTGCTGGTCATCTTGTAATATACTAGAAACTTCTCTGCAGTCTACTGGTTAATCATGATTGATATTTTGACCAGCTCTTACCTTAAATTTTTCTTGTAACATCACAAAAAATTAGTGCTAATAACGAAATTCAAATTAAAGACACATTAATTGGGGCTACTCATGTTGAAATGTTTTGTATACTGTGGCTGGGTTAATATGCCCATTAAATAGCAATAGCAAGAATGCTGACTCAACTACCAGTACTTTTTACACCATTTCTTCCTTTCACAATATGGTAAGATTCTCATTTCAATTTATTTAAAATTTATCAATATTTACCTGTCTTGGTTAGTTTAATAATAGAGGCTTTACTGAAGGTATTGTGCTTGTGTATTAGCAGTTACCAGTTGATAGATATGTTTACTTCTTTCCTTTCCACCCTTCATCCTTCTTTCATATTAATAAATAGTACATTGCCAGCACTCTGAAGGAGGGGTTGGGATGTTTGTAGTTTTGACCTGTAGTATTTGCACCCCTCTGGCAAGACAGCAATGGAGTGAATGATGGTGAAAGTGTTTCTTCTGTTTTGGGTCACTGCTTCGGTGGGATATGGCTAGTGTGTTAAAAACAACAATGGTTATAAATGCTCACTTTTATTGGCAAGTATATCATGTTTTATTGAAGGCAATAACTGCTTGTTGTAAGAAGCGACTAAAATGCCAGGTGCAAGGGGCTAGTAACCCCTTCTCCTGTATAAATTACTAAATTTTAAAAGAGAAACTTCCGTTTTTCTTTTTTGGGCCACCCTGCCTTGGTGGGATACTGCCGATTTGTTGAAAAAAAAAATGCTTTAGAAAACAGCTGGTAAGCATTTGTATCAGTCAGTGAGGAAGCCTTTCTCCTCTATACCCTCTCTCTCATGTCTTTGTGAGATTTCTCTTTGGGGTAAGTTAAATGGTCAAATTGGGGTGAAACATATCTCCCATACTTTACTGCCATGTTAGGTTAATCTTAATGCCATTTTCTGGGATGGATCTCCTTACCAAGCTCTGGTTGGTTGTACGTGAGGATTACTTTTCTAGCTACTATGCTTCACCTATGCTTCTATTCTTCACTTCATTTTCTTTATCTCTGCATTGTATATTCAGTGACTACAGATTATTTTTTTAAATTGTGTTGTGTTTTATTTCTGCTCTGCTTATTTTTTTCTTCATATACTTGAGTGGCACTTGCTCTGCTTGTTCCCTTCAAGGGCATTTTTGATGCTGGTAAATGAATTAGAGCTACTCTAACTTGAATCATATCATATTGCCTCCCTTTTTGCAGGCACTACATAACCCAAACAGGTTTAGTGCTTCCTTCATGATTTTTTTTTTTCCCAACAAGTTGGCACTGTTAGCTATACCAGCAAGTACGTAGAATGTTTCTTCAGTATTTCCTATTTATTTAAGTCTTTGAACTTTGAAAGTAACTACAATTTGACTTGAGAATACATTATTCCATCCCAGTCATAGATACAAAATAAATAAATGAACAGTTAATTTTGGAAATCAGAGTAGGTAAATAAACTCCACATACAGTACAGAGCAGGAATTTTCTTTTTTTACTCCAGGTACGCACAAATTCTATACCTAGTCTGAACCAAAATATTACCACAAGCATGAGCCAGCTCTCTACCAGTGACTTTGGAAGGCCCAGCAATGCTCAGCCAAGGAGGTAAGGCTAACTACAGTGATGATGATGCACATTATTTAACATATCTTGTGTTTGACTATTCCTCTTATTCTGACCTCCCAAAATGAATTGTTCCTAGTGTCCGTTTTTTTTTTTTCTGAAGGTAATTACACTGAAAGTATGAAAATTGATGGAAAACTTGTGTATAACACAGGTGCAAAGTTAGCGGCCTGGGCGCAATTACGCATTGGTGATTTTGCTGACTTAAGTGTGAACAAATTCTTATCTATTTTGTTAGTATGCCTTCTATTCTGTGTATTGAGAAGAAGAAATTGCCAATTCAGCTGTTACAACTACGCTATAAAGTGCACAGAATTCGGTAATTTGGCCAATTTTACACATTTAAAAAATAACTTAAAAATAATACAAAATAAAGTGTAGATATTCCTGGCACTAAAACATTTCCACTCTTCATTTATCATGTCTCTGGGCCTCTCCTCTATTACCCTTACCATTTGTTTGGAATTCATGATGCACAAAAATAGAAGACTTACTCTATTTCCTGGTCAATAAAATATAACCAGGATTTTAAGCTACAGTACTTCCAGTCCTGAAGCCAACCAAAATTATTTCCATTTCAGTAGTATGTCTTCCATTCTATCAAATGGTATCAAGAAACAGCCAATAAAACCATAAAATCTATCCTAAAAAACTACGTCACTATTTTCAACTAAACACATGGTCAGAGTTTTGTTTTCCCATTATTCAACGCTTGGGGTAGAATTTGTTTATACTGTGCATATTCACTGTGTAGACCCATTCTGTCTCGTCTAGGCCAAAATTTACTGCTCACAGCTTATCCGAGTGAGCTGAGCTCATGATGTAGAATTACATGAGGGGCCCTGGCCTCAATGACATAGTTCTACATGAATGCCACTGAAATGGTTAATTTCCTATTTATATATTTGTTTAGCTATATGCTGCCATGTCCCTCAAACTTCATTGCTCACTCTGTACTATTCTTCAATCTAACATTACCTCACTTGTGGTATGAGTGTATAAAGATCTACAACAGCAGATCACCTCAAATCTGTCAAAACTCTTCAAAAAACTGTGCCTACTATATATACAGGTCAGATAATACAAATAGAAACCCAGATCTAGAATTCTTAGGAACTTGCAAGTAACAAATAACTCTTTGCCATCCCATGCATTTGACTCAAAAAATATAGACTCCCTGTTAGATTCTAAAATTTCCCTATTTGCAAACTGTTTAAATTTTTTTAATGCACTGGCCATCTTCAACCAAGGTTGAGTGACATAAAATAAGATAAAATGAATTCACCATCATTCATGCAGATGTTGTCATGCTAGAGGTTTTCTGACATCATAATTCATGTAACACTCCAAACTGTAACATCCCCAACTCTGCTTCAAAGTGCAGGTACTGCCCTTCCCACCTTCAGGAGTCATATCTGGCTTACTGGTTTCCCTGAATCCTTTCATAAAAGTCACCTTACTCAGGCTCCAACAACACATTAAAAATCACTTGTATTCATTCACTCTTATTTAATATGTACACACAAGGATGCTGGATGCTTCAGTCCAAAAACTCAACCTCCATTGCCCCTCTCCCTCCAACCATTCCTGGGATGACCCATTCATCTGCTTTCCACCCCAGATTTATGTATTTTCATCATTCTATGACCCTCCATACTCTTTGCATACCTAAACTGCATCAGCAATCCCTCCTCAGCCCTCCTAATTATACCCTTGACACCTACATCACCTTTTAATTTCTGTACTGAATTCTCTGCATGATATTCACATCAAGTATTACATTCAAACATGGCATCTCTTGCATGATATTCACATCAAGTATTGCATTCAAACATGGCATCTCTACCTCCGGCCTCACTGATGCAGCATTCAAAACCCAAGCCTGATGTTAATATAAAAGTACTGGTACCACTGTATCCTGGTACATTCCCTCTTTTGTCTCCCTAGATAAATTTCCTTTCTACAGATGATTAAACAAACTGCTCACCTTATTTCTCCTTATGTATTCTATGTTTCACTTTGTCTTTCAATTTGAGGAGCAACAACTTTCAGATGCTGTTGTTAACATTACTAGTTTCACTGTCTCCTTTCAAGCTTCCTGTCTTGAAACTGCACTTCATCTCATTAAGGATGAGCTTCAGAGAAATACAGAGAACTGCAAAATAAAAGAAGCATAAAAAAAAAAAAACATACCACGGGCGGGGATAGAACCTGCGATCAGAGAGTCTCGGAACTCCAGACCGTCGCGTTAGCCACTGGACCACCTAGCCACAATACGATTGGTCCAACTAGGTATATTTCTACACCATAGGAAGGTTAGCATAGGCACCACTGTGACCACAAATGCAAGTTTTTACAGACGAATCTCCAGCTAGCGTGGCCGTGACGAACTCTAGCTCAAGTCCCCTTAAAGCTGTCAACATGACTAACGAAATCATAATGACACGATTGCAAACAAACCATACCACGGGCGGGGATAGAACCTGCGATCAGAGAGTCTCAGTGGCTAACATGATGGTCTGGAGTTTTGAGACTCTCTGATCGTGGGTTCTATCCCCGCCCGTGGTATGGTTTGTTTGCAATCGTGTCATTACGATTTCGTGAGTCATAAAAAAGCATGTGTTCATGGTACAAGAACTGCATATTAAAATTCCACTCTTGTTCAGAAAGAAATGACCTATTAGGGCAAGGTTTATGTTAATGGGTGTATTACCAAGAAAATTATTATTATTGTAATCAAGGGGGAAGCACTAAACCCATAGGATTATACAGCACCTGTGGGGGGGATGGAATTATTCAGGCTTAATTCAGGGAACTGGAGCACAGATCCAATTCCCTAGATCAAGAGCCCCTCACCAGGGTCAAGGAACCTCCCATGAGGAGATTACCAAGAAAAAACATAATCTTTATAGGCTAAAGTAACTTTGCTTGATTTTTCTCCCTAGTGTTTTGTGAGGGAAGGTACAATTGCTGGAAGAAAATCAATCAGACAGAAGATATTACATTGCTAATGAACGTGATCTATCAGTATTTTATGCTGTACAAATATGTAACATAGTTTACGTGAATTAATACATTGGTAGGCACATAAGCCACTAATTATGCAGTACATTTTGGGCAACTAATCATAAGGCTTAAAAGTTACTCAAGATCTAGACATAAACTATTAAGTAAGACTTCATTGGGACTTCTTATTCAGTTAACCGCTTTCATAAGTACATTAAAGAAGGTAGCTAATGACAGTTGGTCAGTTACAAAAACAATTACCTATTATTACTCGGTGATCTTCAGTTTTGTGGAGTAATTGAATAGAGATGAAGATATAGCAAGTTACTTAAATTACAATACAAATAAAATGGGACAATATATGTTACCAATTATGTATGGGAGTTGAAGAAAGGCTGGAAGAAGAACAGACAGAATTAGATGAAAGCTGGTTTTGTTTGACATAGCATATTGCTGTCTTGATTATGTTAAGGAGATCCTAGAATTAGTTTGTGCTGCTTGGTATTATATTAGTAGTAGTGTTTGTTTCATAATGCTCAAGCTAGGTTTTGTGAGAATATTTCCACAATGAATCTTTACTGTGCTTATATGCATGTATTCACAGATTTATAGGAGCTCAGCATTAACAGTATTGTTGAGAGAAGTTGGATTTGAGTGAGAGATGACAAAAGTTATGTCATCTGTGGACAGAACAGGTTCAGGGAGATGAGATGCAGTGGGGAGATTATTGATGTATGTATATAAGTAGGAGCAAAGGGCCAAGATCACTGCCCTGAGGTACTCCTACATCAACAGGCTGAGTTGATGAAGTTATGCTATTAATGGACACATATTGGTGTCTGTTGCTAAAATAAGAATTTAGGTATGCAAGACCCCATAATGTTCTAGCCTAAGGTTCAGGATGTTGAGGTCCACTCTTTCGAAAGCTTTTCACCGGTTTATGAAGAGGCCCAGAGAATATTTATTATTTTCAAGACCTACATAAAGCACTTCAAGCATTTTTATAATGGTATAATGTGTATTTTGGGGGGGGGGCTAAAATCAAACTGACAGGGGGTTGAGTATATTGCAGACACTAGTAAAGAGTAAACTTTTGATTTATTTTCAAAGATTTTAGATAGTAATGGCAAGTTGGATATTAGCCTATAATTATTTACTTTGGTTGGCTTACCTCTGCAAGATAAATTGTCAAAAACTTTATTAATATGATGGTTTAAGAATTGAAAAAAAAAATTGTATGGCTTGAGGTGTCACAGCATGTAACCCAATTTTTTCCATAAGTTGATAACTCCATTCATCGTGTTTTTTCTGTGTACAGTGCCAGTTTTGGAACCCAGCATGTACAAAAGGTGGCTGTCTTCTGTATCTAATTAAAATTGTGTGTGTGTGTATATATCATTAGTTTCTGATCATCCAGCTTGAAATGTGTGTAGTTAGCACCAATAGTCTGATTAAACAGCATAACATCAACTAGGAAGCCTGATTTGGTACCAGATCACAGGAACAGTAACCCTTGGAGCCATCAACAGATAGATCAGTATTTCAAGCAAACTTGTTGCTAGTTAAGGAAAAGTAAAGCAGCTTGTAGAATTCTTTCAAGAAATATTTAAAGTTTAACATAAACACTGTAAACAGTGACAACAGTTTGTGTCTGGGAAAGCTATGCTATTACTGTAGCAGTAATTGATTTGAATACTCCTTGAATTCATTAATTATATTTTTACTACAGGTGGGGGGAGGAGCCAAGTGTAAGTGTTGGGGCATGGATGGAACGACCACCTCAGTCTGTGGGAGTGTACCAAGATCGTGACTATGTTACATCTGCTCCACGTTCACAGTCTACTCAGGACCTCTCCTCTCATCCTGTATTAGAGGAGTGCCAAAGAACTCCTTCACGCACCACTTTTGTAGGTCCTAGAGGTTATTCTCGTCCAGCAGACACTGTGAAGCCCGAGACTAGGCCTTACCAGAGGGTTCCGCAGCAGCAGCAGGCTCAGGTTACTCAACCACTAGAGTATCAGTTTCTCTCGCCTGATCAGCAACAGCAGTTTGCTCAATTTGTACAGCAGCAGCAACCGGAGCAACATCAGCAACAAACACTACTGCAGCAGCAGCCACTACAACAACCAAAGCAGCAGTGGCAACCACAGCCAAGCAACAACCACCAAAGCCTCAGTTTGTACCTCAGCCAGATAAGACAGCCTTTTGGCGAGAACTGGAAGGAAAGAGTCAAAATATAGGTATGCAGAACAACCAGGAAGTGTCTGAACCCACCCGGCCTCCTCGACGAAACTCTCGTCAAGATTCTCCTCCACAGGTGAGAGCTCTTTGTACAGTAATTATATACAAATAAGGCATTTAGCTTGTGGGTGGGTGAGAAGAGGATGCATCTAGCTTGGAACAGAAGACCTACAGCAAGGCTCCTCCAGCCATAGGTCTTATGCTCTCATACAGAAAAGTGCTGGTTCGGTAAAAGAAATGTAGGTGTATGTAATGGATGGGTTTGAGTACAAACTACCTAAAATGGCTAGTAGGCCTGCTGTACAGCTTTCTGTTGCTTAGTACAACAGTTACAGTCTATAAATTTAAACTTTTTATGAGCATTTCCAATAAATAAGTCAGTTCCCTACCTCTTACTTAAGAACTTTAGGTACACTAGAGTTTTGCATATATAGTGGACCCCCAGTTTACGATCAGCTCCCATGCGACCAATTATGTAAGTGTATTTATGTAAGTGCGTTTGTATGTGTATGTTTGGGGGTCTGAAATGAACTAATCTAATTCACAATATTCCTTATGGGAACAAATTCGGTCAGTACTGGCACCTGAACATGCTTCTGGAATGAAATAATATCGTAAACCAGGGGTCCACTGTACGTATATTTTTTTTCAACACTTCGGTAATTTCCCACTGAGGCAGGGTGACCCAAAAAGAAAGAAAAACTCAAAAAGAAAGAAAAAACTTTGATCATCGTTCAGTACTTTCGCCATCATTCATATATAATCATTGTCTTGGCAGAGGCGCTCAGATACGAACCCTTTTAAAGTGCAGGCATTGTACTTTCAACTTCCAGGACTCAAGTCTGGCCCTGAATCTCTTCACAAAACATTACCCTGCTCATACTCCAACAGCTTGTCAGGTCCCAAAAACCATCCATCTCCATTCACTCCTATCTAACACACTCGGGCACACTTGCTGGAAGTCCAAGCCCCTCTCCCACAAAAACTCCTTTAGCCCCTCTCTCAAATCTTTCCTAGGACGACACCCTACCCCACCTTCCTTCCACTACAGATTTATATGCTCTCCAAGTTATTCTACTTTGTTCCATCCTCTTTAACCCTTAAACTGTCCAAACGTAGATCTACGTTTTTTCAACATTTGAAAGTATGTAAAAAAGTAGATCTTCTTTACTTTTTTTTACATTTGAAAACGTGTAAAAAACACTTAGATCTACTTTTTTTTTGTTAAATTTGAAAATATGTAAAAAAAACGTAGATCTACTTTTGGAGCACTACGCATGTGAACGTAAATTTGTTTGGACAGTTTAAGAGTTAAATGACCAAACCAACTCAACGACCCTTCTTCAGCCCTCTGACTAATACCTTTAGTAATTCCACACCTTCTAATTTCCATACTACAAATTCTCTGCCTAATATTTGCACCACACATTGCCCTTAGACATGACATCTCCACTGCCTCCAGCCTCCTCCTCGCTGCAGCATCTACAACCCATGCTTCACACCCATATAAGATTATTGATACCAGTATACTCTTGTACATTTCCCTCTTTACCTCCATGGATAGCACTTTTTTTGTCTCCACAGATACCTCTCAGCACCACTCTCCTTTTTTCCTTCATCAGTTCTATGGTTAACCTCATCCTTCATAAACCCATCTGTTGACAAGTCAACTCCCAAATATCTGAACACATTCACTTCTTCTATACTCCCTCTCTCCAATGGGGTAAACTGTTTTTTTCTAATCACTTGATGCCCTCATCACCTTACTTTTATCTATGTTCACTTTTTCACTTTCTTTTATTTATATGGTAAGCTAATAAAGTAAGTTAAAAATCATTCGTAGGTATTTAAGATAAAAAATGGATTGGTGGCCTAAAGAAAAATTGATATATGCAGATGCAAAGTGCAAAATAATGTAAGTACATCATAGTTCCTACAATTTGTTCATTACCTTGCAAACGAGGGTACAACAGTAATAATGTAATGTAATAATAATAAGATTTCTATATGTACATTGTATACCTGGAGGGAGTTTTGGGAATCGGCACCCCTGTGGCCCAGTCCATGACGAGGCCTTGTGGTGGATGAGGGCCTGATCAACCAGGCTGTTACTGCTGGCCACACGTAAATGATGTACGAGCCTGGCTGGTGAGGTACTGACTTTGTGCCTGTTCACTGCTTTCTGTTATTGCTGTTCTTGCAGTTGAACAGCGGTTTAGTGCCGATGGAGGTAGCATAGGTAACAATGATACGGCCATGGACTAGTTTGGCTTTAATTGGATAGGAGTGAGTACACAACAGGCAATGTGAGGGAATGACCGATAGCCAGTCCGTGGAGGGGGAGTACTTGTGCCTATCAAGTCGGTCGGCCGGGGAGTGAGGACGAATGGGCCCAGCCTCCCACCGACCTGGGTGAGCCTACAGAGGGCAGCACTTAAATGCCGCGAAATATGAACTAAGCTGGCAGACTTCATAAGCTGTCTTTGCTGATAGTACAAGCTGTCTACATTTGCTCGGCCACGCACCTCGTCGGGACAATACTGGTGGGCAAAGGAATTACTTACACTAGCTACCCCAGAGAGAAACTGGCTTTCGCTCACTTGTAAATCAAAATTGGACATAAAAATGCAACAGGCAAAAAAAAAAAAAAACTCTCCCATCCAGGGGAAGAGAAAACTGGCTTGCCCGCGCTGCTTCATTGAGGAGGGAGTCCGGAGACGTCAGCACTAGAACTAAAATCCTCTATATAGCAGGTTGTCCACAGGTCTAAACATCCGGCTTGACCACTCTTCTACGAACGCTGTTGCACCCTCACATCTGCAAACAATGACTGACAGTAGCATTTCCTAAGGTGTGACATGTGACTCGGAGGGCAGCACTGCCCTGACCGTAATACATACAGGCTTTTAAAAGACACTGGGTGCACATAACTACAATAATACCATATCCATGGAATTCATTACACTCTGGGTACCCTTCTAAAAGTATTTACATAATTACATGATGATGTCCACCCTGACTCCATTATCAACTAGCTATACAATGTGTGCACATTTATACCCATTACTGCAAGCAAACAATTAGCATAACTAGCGTAGGAGTCAGACAAGTCAGTAGGTACGTCAATGTCACAGAAATGTACTGTTGTCCTGGGTCGCAGTCCATAAGTATGGAGCCTTACTGGGCCGTCTTCAGGAACAGTAGTAGTGGGAGAAGGAGTAGACGGGTTGTTGCTAGCATTGGTCTGATTGTGGCATTGCAACGCACGCGACTCCAGCTCTGCTTCGGCCTGCACATGGTCCACATACTTCATGTGATCAAGGTGGGCTTCTTTGATAGTTCCAGTAGCAATCTCCCTCACCTCGAACTTATTGCTACGGAGCTGTCGGAGGACATGGTAAGGACCCACGAATTTTGGGACAAGTTTGGAGAGGGAGCATGAACACGGGGGTCGTCCCACAGTTACTAAAAACAACAGACATAGCCCCACTCCACAAAGGGGGCAGTAAAGCAACAGCAAAGAACTACAGACCGATAGCACTAACATCCCACATCATAAAAATCTTTGAAAGGGTCCTAAGAAGCAAGATCACCACCCATCTAGAAACCCATCAGTTACACAACCCAGGGCAACATGGGTTTAGAACAGGTCGCTCCTGTCTGTCTCAACTATTGGATCACTACGACAAGGTCCTAAATGCACTAGAAGATAAAAAGAATGCAGATGTAATATATACAGACTTTGCAAAAGCCTTCAACAAGTGTGACCATGGCATAATAGCGCACAAAATGCGTGCTAAAGGAATAACAGGAAAAGTCGGTCGATGGATCTATAATTTCCTAACTAACAGAACACAGAGAGTAGTCGTCAACAGAGTAAAGTCCGAGGCAGTTACGGTGAAAAGCTCTGTTCCACAAGGCACAGTACTCACTCCCATCTTGTTCCTCATCCTCATATCCGACATAGACAAGGATGTCAGCCACAGCACAGTGTCTTCCTTTGCAGATGACACCCGAATCTGCATGACAGTGTCTTCCATTGCAGACACTGCAAGGCTCCAGGCGGACATCAACCAATCTTTCAGTGGGCTGCAGAAAACAATATGAAGTTCAACGATGAGAAATTTCAATTACTTAGATATGGTAAACATGAGGAAATTAAATCTTCATCAGAGTACAAAACAAATTCTGGCCACAAAATAGAGCGAAACACCAACGTCAAAGACCTGGGAGTGATCATGTCGGAGGATCTCACCTTCAAGGACCATAACATTGTATCAATCGCATCTGCTAGAAAAATGACAGGATGGATAATGAGAACCTTCAAAACTAGGGAGGCCAAGCCCATGATGACACTCTTCAGGTCACTAGTTCTATCTAGGCTGGAATATTGCTGCACACTAACAGCGCCTTTCAAGGCAGGTGAAATTGCTGAGCTAGAAAATGTACAGAGAACCTTCACAGCGCGCATAACGGAGATAAAACACCTCAATTACTTGGAGCGCTTGAGGTTCCTGAACCTGTATTCCCTGGAACGCAGGCGGGAGAGATACATGATTATATACACCTGGAAAATCCTCGAGGGACTAGTACCGAACTTGCACACGAAAATCACTCACTACAAAAGCAAAAGACTTGGCAAACGATGCAACATCCCCCCAATGAAAAGCAGGGGTGTCACTAGCACGTTAAGAGACCATACAATAAGTGTCAGGGGCCCGAGACTGTTCAGCTGCCTCCCAGCATACATAAGGGGGATTACCAACAGACCCCTGGCAGTCTTCAAGCTGGCACTGGACAAGCACCTAAAGTCGGTTCCTGACCAGCCGGGCTGTGGCTTGTACGTTGGTTTGCGTGCAGCCAGCAGCAACAGCCTGGTTGATCAGGCTCTGATCCACCAGGAGGCCTGGTCACAGACCGGGCCGCGGGGGCGTTGACCCCCGGAACTCTCTCCAGGTAAACTCCAGGTAATACCTAGGGTCTGCACTGGGTTGAGCAACATAACTTTACAACCTGGTTCCACTTTGCTTTCCTTGGCGAGGGCATTGCGCTCAGACGTGAACCAATCAGTAGCTT